TCCCCTCTAGAACCCTCCGTTTGTTTTTCAGAGTCCATCGTTTCTCATGGTTTGTGCATATATATTTTTAATCCTGTTTTTCTCACATAACCATATTCCCAGGTGATTAAAACTTTGGTAAATATCTCTTTTCATTACTGCTTAACTACTGTGTAGTGAAGAATAAATTTTACCCCAAGAGAGGTCAGGCTTTTGTCTGCCCTTGGCTACTAACAGGTGATTACTAGGTATCTGGAGTATCTTGTCTGCTAGAAGTATCTTTCTTTGAATGGGGGCTTTGGCCACATAACAGTCTAATGATGTGATTTTTGAGGGAGGTTTTAGGATGTGTACGTCCATCTCAATTTCCAAAGGAAATGAAGACTAAAGGTGTTAGCCTGAACCTCTGGAAAGGGCTAAAGACTAAAGGTCGGCCATGTAGGCAGTATGTGATTGAGTCCCAACACAAACTCTAGACACCAAAGGCTCAGGTGAGTTTCTGAGGCTGGCAATATTCTGTGCATACTGTCCTACATCAATGCCAGGAGGGTACTGTAACTATGAGGACAAGAAGATTCATGTTTGGAATCCTCCTACATCTGTCCTATGAATTTCTTCCTTTGACTAGTTCTAATCTGTATCCTTTTGCTCTAATAAAACTGTTAAGTATAGTGCTTTCCTGAGTTCTGTGAGTCATTCAACATTCTATTTTTTTTAAGACTTATTTATTTATTTAGAGAGAGAGAGCGCACAGTGGGGGTTGGGGGGAGGGCCAGCAGAGGAAAAGGGAGAGAATCCCAACCAGAGTGTGAAGGCCAACATGGGGCTCAATCCCAGGACCCTGAGATCATGACATGAGCTGAAATAAAGAGCTGGACACTTAACTGACTGAGCCACCCAGGCGTCCCGAGTCATTCAACGTTCTAGCAAATTATCAAATCTGGGGGCAGTCATGGGGAGCCCCAAATTTGTAGCCAGCGAGTCTGATGTGATGGTAGCCCTAGGGGACTTCTGAACTTGCAGCTAGTGTCTGAATAAGCACAGTCTTGGGGGGACTGTGCAGTAAGCCAAACTCTTCTGCAGCTGGTATCAGAAGTCTTCAACAAACCTGGCAGTCTGGAGGGCTACACTCTTAACCTCGAGCGTAACAAACTGAGTAACTATCCATCACATATTCTAACTTATTTAACCATTCTTTATCATAAACAGGGCAGCAATGAACATCTTTGTGCATAAAACTATAATTTACATTTCTGATTAGCTCCTAAGAAATACTTACTAAAAATGAAATCACTATTATAAGGAATATAAACTGCCAAATCATTATTCAAAAGGTGTGATTTGACTGATTACTCATGTCTAAAGGGGTCAAACTAAATTTCTATTTCCATTACTTCTAGATAATTTTCCTAATGACATTCTTTTTTTTCCCCCGAATTAACATTCTCTTTTCAGTTTCTCCCTAAAGTCAATTTTATCTTTTACATACTATATTAACATATACAGTATATATTTCATATACTATATTCATTTCTGGATTCCTAGGATTTTTTTCTTTTACGAAGCCTTCTTTCTATTGCTTGACTTCCCCCTTGTATAATTATGCCAATTTAATTTCACTTAGTTTTTATTTTTAGTAAAAATACTGGTAACCATATTCTTTACTCTTATTTCTTACACTACTTGCTCTGATTCCATGATACTTTATTTCCATTGTTTTATCTCTTCAAGAATCTTTGAGGAAAAAAAAAAGAATCTTTGAGGACAGAATATTTGGTTATATGAGCTCTAATTTTCACCATTTAAAAAAGCTCATTGTTTATAAAACAATTTTTTTTTTTTTTAAAGATTTTATTTATTTATTTGACAGAGAGACACAGTGAGAGAGGGAACACAAGCAGGGGGAGTGGGAGAGGGAGAAGCA